GGGGCCTGCTCATTAAACCTTTTGTTTAGCGACGTTGCCGTTGCCGTCGTGGTTTTCTTAAACCCACTAGTGAGTCGAGTCAGTGATTAATATTTCCTTGTTGTGTGTCATCCATGTGCCGTCCATTAGCACAAGGATTATTCCTTTGGCTAGTCCTACTTGACACGTACTTTTTTTTAATTTTAAATTATTTAATATTTTCCATCTCACAGCTGGAATTCCAAAATAGTATCGAAAGATCAGATCCAGATTTCAGACGCCTTCTCAATCCTAGCACCATGCAGAGTGCTCCGTATGACTGCTTCGTCAATCCTCAGGCGATACACAAGGTAGTTGGATCAATCCTTTACTATTGCGTTGCGTGATTCGTGGTAAGCGAGTGAGTTGTAACACAATCCAGGAAGGGAAGGAGGGAGATGGAGGGCAATCAACAAAGATCAAGTGACCGGATCGAAGATCACTTCGTACTGCCATGGTCGTAATTAAAGTGTTTTGTTTTCTAACCTTAATGTATTGGCTGTCTCTTTTTCTCATACGGAACGCTATTAAAGCAGCTGGACCAGGCCGAGGAGACGGAGGAAGGAGGGAAGGTGGTTGGGATGGAAATATGGAAGGAGGGAATGAAATGCCAAGGGAGGTACAGACGGAGACCTAAGGAGGGAGGGAGGAAAAGAGTGGGAGATCAAGGGGGTGGAGGAGGTGGGAGAGATAAAAAAAAAAAGGAGGAAGTGAAGGAAAGAAGGGAAAAAGGAAAAGAAGAAGGGAGTGAAGGTGGGAGAAAGACAAACGGAATTTGGGATAGGTGAACGGAAAAGGTGACAGATTTACTTCCATAGTAAAAAGAGTGACCTAGTTTAATGCCATTGCTTCTGATCGTAGTAAGTGACTGTGTAATTCCCTTTAAGTTCCCAGTGGCCATGTGAGTTTAACTCAATCACTTTTCTTCCCTAGGTTCGTTTCAACCCCAACAAACAATCGTTCACGTGGCTTGCCACCGGTGGAGGGGCTGGCCTGGTAAGACTACATTTAGTTAAAGAGGTCAAACCGTGAGAAGACGGTCAAGGCTGGGTTACAAAGAGCATTTTTCGGTGCCGTTATAAAGGAGTAAGAACGAAATGGGGCTTTGAAGCAAGAAGGTTTTTGTTCTGAGCGTCAGCGAAGTCAACGAGATTTTACTTGCTCAAATCAATAAAGGTGATGGTAACGCGATTAGCTTTTCAGAGAAAACAATAGTTGCAAATTGAATATGCGAAAAAGTGGCGATTGAAAAAGAGAAAAAGGGAGATTATCAATAAACATTTCTCCCTTCTTCATATTGTGATAAAAGACGAGGACATTGTGGTCGACATAAAAAGGTCCCGGTTCACAAACAGAACGATCAGAAGGGAGGGGAAGGTAAAGAAACCGAACGTGTACTAGCAAAAATGGTGAAATTTTTGAAGAAATTCTTGAACTTCTCCTTAGTCTGTGGCTTACACTTTGAAAAGTCTACTCCTTAGAATATTCCTTAGAAAATTTCAAAAGAAAAGTGAATTAGTTTTAACTTAAACGAAATTATAAATGCCCAAGTCTTTCTTTTCGGCTTATCATGTAGGAAGATGAAACATTTCAGGTCATTCCTTCATCTAGTTACTTGCAAAGTAATTAATGGTACATAAGTCGAAAAGGCTTGTTAAAGTGAGCTCTATTTATTGAATTATCTTTATGAAGCCCAATGAAGTAGGGTCTTCATAAATCCTTTTTTTTCGGAGGTACTTGATAATAATTATCAGTCGTATCTTTAAGAAACTCGGTTCTTTTGAGCTTGATCTTGCGCGGTGTGTTATCTTCTCTTCGACACTTCTACGAAAGTAAGATACTGTTAACTGGGAAAAGTCCAGTTCGCGGATAGGGTATATATATTTTTCTTTTATCTTCGAGGCACAATGCGACCAATCACTCAACGTGCAAAATATGCGCCTAATAGTGATTGATGTCATTAACTACGGCCGCTGCGTCTTCAAAGTTGCACTGAGTTGTACCGTGCCCTACATGCGGTTTTACTTAACCGCCTGGCCCAGTTCTAAGCTCTTGAGCTTCTTGTTTTCAGTGTATAGCTGTTGCACGATTTTAGGACGATTGTTTCATTATTTATTCCTATGTAACTTATTTTTACAGGCTTTTGTCTGGAACTTATTAAAAAAGAATATTAAATGCATTCTTGAAATAATCCTTCCATGTCAATTCTAAAGCTTTTTTTAACTGTTCTGAAAGATGTTAAGGTGACAGATGTAGATTTAGATTTAGATTCCGTATTTAATATCATGGCTATCAAATTCTTAATTTTGGCGCGAACTTTCAGCGATAATTTATAATTTCACCTGTGAAATTAAACAATGGCGCGAAATTTCTCGATACAATGAAAAAGTCAATAACCCGCGATTGTAAGTGTAATTTGTCACCCATGATATTAAAAGGTAACCAAATGGTATAATCATGAAATTAAGAAATAATTTCACTTGCGTTTTGTCAAAATTCTAAATTATTAGAATTGTGACAAAACACGCGTGAAATTATTTCCTAATCTCATTCGCCGCCATTTGATTACCCATACTTAAATGGTTTGAGCACCAGGGAACCGACTCCAGTGAACCAATCAAAACTCGCGGCAAAAACATGTTGGTTGAGACGAAGCCCGGGAAATCGTTTGGGTTTGGTTTTACTTCTGATTGGATGACGCGAAGTGACGCGGGTTTGTTGAGCAAATCGGTCAGCATGGCATTACAAAACCAAAGCAACTGTGTGTTACTTTCTACACTTGTGAAATCCTCTTAAAGGAGTTACGCCACGGTTAGCGAATCTTCAAAAGTTTAGCCTAAAGTTTTAAAGTTCGTCGTTGGTAATCCGTGTATATCTTTTCAATCTTTAACCATCCTTGTTTCCTTGTGGTGTATATTAACACTTAAGTGTTGTTCTATCGGTAACTATTATTTTCAGGGGGTTTTTTTTCAATGAAAAGGTAATTTTGTTGTACGTGGCCAAACTAACTCAACATACAGTTACTGTGGTCCTTTAAAGAGCGCGCGTTATTTGGTAATGGCATAATGTAGCGTTTTTCATGTACGCTTGTGTGATGAAGTTGCATCTGTCACGCAGTATCTAAGGTAACAAACACCAAGGGGTACCAGTCTGTACGTGAAAAACGGCCCACAATTCCTCACCATGATTGCTGTGCTCCACCGGCAGCAGTCATTGTTCCAATGAAAACACACTGTGCGGTTGACTGCGCGCTCTTGTGGTGTGGGATGAGTCCCATTTAGCCAACCGGACGCATGCGTATTACACATGTAGCTATTCACGCAGTAGTCGGGCATTCTTACGCCCGCGGTACTGTTAAAGCGGTACCAGCCTTCAACCATTGTGCGGTCACATTTTTGGAATCGGGACAAACTTCTGGTGTGAATGCTTCGATCCAAATCCATGTTTGTCAAGTACCTGTCGCATCCCTCTCCTGTTATTCACATAAAAAGGAAAGAAAGTAAAATACGGTTGTCACTTAATTTCCTTGTTCCTTGTCTGACACAGAACTAATTGTTATGGTAGGTCAGATTATATATTGTCAATGAGGATAATAGCCCATTTCCGAGTTGCCCTGAGCCTCTCTATGAAAGCGAGGCCAGGTCCACAACCATTCATATGAAAATGAGTTTAATTTGCGTGTTAATGAAATCTAATTTTCATATGAAAGAATGGGCACCAAGACTCGCTTTGAAAACGAGGCTAAAGGTAATTCGGAAATGGCCTATTCAGGTCAATCGATCACTTAATGTGATGTAAATTAATTTACTTCCCAAGAATAAGAAAAGAAAAAATGCCATATATTCTTTTATAGTGAGAAGTTGAAGTCTTGAGTGCTAAAAATATTCAATTCCTGCTACTAACTTAAAGCTGTAAGCAGCCGGGAGACCTATACGTTTCTTTTGTTCGACGAGGAGAAAGAGGGAGGTTGTCGGTAGGGGGGATCATATTACACAGGGCATCAGCAACTACAGGGTGCTTACACGATAATAAAATCAAAGGCTTCTTAGAGCAACCTCGTGGTATGTATTGATGGCACCCTTGGTGTAACCTGCGATCTGGCGTTCTTTGCAAAGTCACCTTTGATCGTAGGCCACACGTGACGGCACAATATTATGTTTGTAAGAGTATTAATGGCGAAAAATTTTCTTAAATTTTGAATTTTTGAAGAATTAGTTAAGATATAGGCAAAGGTTTGCATTGTTCAAATTTGAGGGATGGAGATGTACACAGGGCATCAACAACTACAGATAGCTTACACGATAATAAAAAAATGAAAAAGGGCACTGGTTGTCCAAAGACCCTGTTAGGGATTGTACGATAGTTTGTAAAGTTGATGTTACAAGAAGTCTCTATGATATACATGGTGATTGTCTTTGTTCTCAGCTTTTCATTTCGACAACGTTCAGTACAATGTAGTCATTGACTCCAGCTGGCAGACCAACCAGACTGACTGCTTTTTCCCTTGAAAGTTTAACTGATTTTTAAGAGAGAGGCATCTTAACTAACTGTATTGACTGTAGTGACTGATAATGTTGTGGAGAAACTTACCTGCACCAAGCTCGCAATAGATGCCAGTAACGAACGGTGCGCATGCGCATGTAAAACCATTGACGGTAACATTGCACGTTCCTCCATTCAAACAGGGGTTGCTGGAACACTCGTCTGTAACTGTAGCAAGAAATATTGCAACGTAGGATTTT